TTAGGAGGATAGTGCAAAGTACGTACAAAGACAGTACAGTGGGAGTATCGTACAATGCGCACCAGAGGTTGATGCAACCACGTTTAGAACAGAATTAGCGAACTTCTTGTGTGGGGTCTGGTCAACCCCTGGGGGCAGCCATGTTTGTTTTTTATTATTAGAGGGTGCTTACACACATGATCGTTCAATATTTGGAATTTGCGTTCCCTAATATGGTAGGATGAAAATACCCAGTGCAATACCGCAAAATTACAGCACACTGTAACTTATGGCGTTTCAGTGAGAGATGTATATTAATAAATAATAAAATATATCCTACCTGATATTTGTCTAAGTAATGATGAACAAATGCCATCAGTTCCTACAACAGAGTTCTTCACCAGCTCACGCACCACCCAGATCAACTGAAGTAAAACAAAATGTTGCACTGATATATGAATCAAAGAAACCTGTGAAACTATGTAAAAAAAAACAAAAAATGTATTAAGTTTGTTCAGTGAGTTGAATATATATGATTTTGAAGAAATTGAACATGAGCACTACCCCCGGTAACTTGGTTTCCGGGAATGCAAGACATTGACGTAGGAAGAAATGTGCACTTACCTGGTTTCGAGATTTTTCACTGACCCTGAGGAATTTTCCAAGAACAATTTCATTAATTTTTAAGATAGTCAGCCCCATTCCATCTCGAGTTATTAGTGCCAAATCTCTGTAATTCTGAAAAAAACATTATTATATTTTCAAAAATGAAATAGACACTCGAACATTTACAGTGCATACACTGAAAACAACTGGTACAGTTATCTTCCAAACTCACACAGGTTGCAACAATATTGAAATCGTTCAGAAGTTTACTGGGTTGACGATTCAAAATTATGATTTTGCAAGTTGTGAAATTAAATTGGTTAGAACACAAAGAACTTGTTAACACAGAAATGAGACCATATAAAAATCTTACCTTTGGTGCTGATGGTGGATCAATCAAAATACTGTACAATAAACCTAATGTAATATCTTCATGTTGTGGCATTCCTTTGCAAACCTACACGTGGTACAAGAACACAGCAAAAATATAACCAATGAAAACAAATTTCACTGATAAAGATATAAAATCTATGGTGTCTTGTGCTCTAAAAAAAATATTCCTTCTCATTATCCTTATAAATCAACCAGTAAAACTACATGTACTTAAACCTTTACTACTGTAAATGCATCAATTATTCACTGGGTTTTAATTTTGCTGATAAGTAAAATCTGCGAAATTAAATCTTTGTTAACATGTAAAATAACAATAAAACACATTGTTTTCTCAACAAATTTGTGAAATTGAAACACATTGAATATGCTCAAAACATCAAAATAGTGAAATTAAATGTCAGTGAAAATAAATGGTTCTACAATATTTGACAATGCTTTAGCCAAGATTTAAAAATTAACAAGTCAATGTAAATGACAAACATGTACACTGTAGTTCTGATAAATAAATAAATTAATTGCCTTTGACATTTTGAAATTATGTGAATCATTGAAATGTATTTTGTATATATATATATATATATATAGATTTATTTTTGTACATATATATTTATGTTTTTGAATACTGTAAAATGCTTTATTTTTGCTGGAGGAATGATTCAGTGAAAATAAAATCCAGCAAATACATGTACATCCTATTTTCTACAGTTTACGTTTAACTCGTCAGAAATCAGTGAAAATAAATTCCATACAAAATACCCAAACAGTTTATTCAGCGAAAAATAATTCCATCTACAATAAAATGCAATTTGCATTCATTGCAATTTGCAATACTGATGACAATGCACAAAATTGCCTAAGCAGACCTCAACTCAGCCATGACTTTGGGATTGAACCATTGTTTTTCACATTTCTTCCTCTGAAAATGTTGAAAAAACACAGAAAAAAAATCTATCAAAGTATTGGTATGAAGGTGGCCAACACTCTAATTAAAACAACAAACTCAATGATGAGTATTGTTATCTCAACTGATGATTTTGTTATTATATTACTATGTCGAACACATTTATACCATCGACTCATGAAGCAATCAGCAACCCACCATATGTGACACTCAAGTTTTAATGACACTGAACAGCATTCCTTCCAAAGTCTGGCGTGCATCTTAGACTATAATTAGTCTTAATGAAAAATATTTCACATCAAATATTTATTTGTAGAGTAGTCCATTTTTGATTGTAAAATGGACGGTGACTTAATGAAAACAATAAAATCCATAGAACTGTTCTGTGACATTCAGCAAAACTAAATTGTGTTGACACTATGACATGTTTACTAGTAACCCTTGTAACAAACAGAAAATCAAAGAAATCTAAACGTCACAAAAAAAAGTGACCTGAATCAAATCATGAATCTAATGTATATGCATCAGTACGCTATCAAGTGAAATGTCAATACTAAGTTGACAAAATCGACCTAGATCCAGAAAACGAAGACAAAATGACCACCAGTCCATTCATTGTTAATGAATTGAAAAACAAAATGATTAGCACAATTATGTATTGTATTTGTACCAACTTTAAACTGAGAATACAATCTTATTTGGTTTTATTGGGAACAACATACCAATACAAGGTCTTGTTCAAGAGATTTCAAACAATGGTTGGTCAACATAACAGAGAATGCCATGTATACAAAGCTCAAGCCATTAGTGCCACTGGAGTTTGTTCAAATCTT